TCGCTACGAAAACTAAGGTTTTGGAAGGATTTCATCTTGCGCGCGCGAGTGTGCACTTCGTGTCATTTTTTGCAAAAGGATTCTTAAAGTTTGGTTATGTTAGAACAAGACATGTCATTTTATATTGTTTTTTTTGACAGGGAAAGCGGGCGTCAACAAAACAACCGGATCCGGACTCCCCCGTTTTGCCTGAGACGTCCTCACGAAAATGATGAACATGTGGCTGCGGCCTAGGCGCGGCGAGGGGGGCGTGCACCAGGGGGCCCAACAATAATTATTTTTTAGAAGTAATAATATTCAACAACAACAACAACGCAACAAACATAACCCTCACCACGGATCGACACTTCAGCCACGCACCCAGGGACAATCAATGACCGCTCGGCCCCATCACTCTGATTATGAATTATATAATGCGCGTAGCTCCCCAGGGGCGACGCGCGCACCGAGAAATCTTGTAGTACATGCGTCGTGGCGTTTTCTTGCCGCACCGCGTGGGAAACGATCTACTACAAGATGGGTGTATTATATGTTCGGGTCGGACGCGCGCATCCGAGGATAACATCTAGTATTGGTATGTTTTTGTGCGCCCCGTGTTTGTGCTCAAGACTGTGCTGCCATCCACCGCCCATGGCCACCCTGCACTTGCCAAGCTGTTATTAAGACACTGGAGAAGCGGGGAGTGAGGAAGACGAGGAGGGGGGGGAGTACAGGTTGCCGCGTCTGCACGACACCAAGGCCGACAGCGAGCGAGCGACGGGGGGATGGGCCGTTCAGGTCACCGAGCAGCCTGTCGACTTGCGGTTAACGTGCTTATCCGGGCCGTTCAAGGGACGATACGGCCAGCGCCCCCCAAATGAAGCGGCTAGCGTCCCCAAAGCTACCAAGGCCCAGGCACGCTAACCGCGCGTTTTGGGACGTCTGTGGCACATGGGGCTCACGGGCCCCAAGAGGACCAACAGGCGGTCATGCGCAAGAGATCCCGCGTGACCGTTCTCTGGCCCCTCTTGGAGGCCTCCTGGAGCCCTCTCGGGACACTCTGAGACGGCACTTGTTGGTTCCTTGCGTGAATGCTCTTAGGCCCTTCTTGGGAGCCTCTCGGGAGGATCTTGGGGCCCTGCCGGGGCCATCCGAGACAGTACTCTGGCTCCAGAGAGCGCTACGGAAGCTCTGCACTTTGGCTCCAGGGAGCGCTACGGAAGCTTTGCTTTCGTATCTCCCGAGGAGCGCGAGGACTGAACGGCGGTCACGCGCAAGAGCTCTCGCAACAGCGCTCGTGGTCCCCTGGAGCTCCTTCGGGTCCTCGCGGGATCCTCCGAGGCTGCTCTTCTTGGCCTCGGGCAGCGCTGAGGGGGGTCTGGAAGGGCTTCAAGAGGAGTCCGAGAGTCAGAGGAGGAAAAGGCACCCATAATGGAGGATGACGATTAATAAATGACCGGGGGTCGTGTTCACGCGGCGGCGCCCGGGATGACGATTAGAAAAAAACGGCCGCGGGCTGGAACACTATTTTTTGAAATTGTTCTCCTCCAGTCAGAAAGTTGTGCAGAAATAACAGAAAACTATTTTTTAATCGTTCCCTCCCATTTTTTATTAATCGTCATCCCGCATTACCTCTACGTTTCCCTCGTGTGTTCCTCTTGTCGGGTGTCCCGGGCGGCCCTCGTCGTCGCTGGATTCGCCCCGAAATCGTAGTCATAACGCACCCCGGGAGAGGTCTGGGGAGCAGCGGTATCGGTATCCCCAGGGGGGGAGGAGGAGGAGGAGGAGGAGGAGGAGGAGGAGGAGGAGGAGGAGGAGGAGGAGGAGGAGGGTCAGGAAGAGCAGGAGGAGGAGGAGGAGGAGGCCGAGGAGCAGCAGGAGCAGGAGGAGCAGGAGGTCTGGAGGCGGGGGAGTACGGTGGGGGCGTTTGTTAAGAAACGTGCCCAAGAGGCTGCAGATCCTGGGGGTCCTTATCCAATGGGGGCGGCGGTGATATCCATGGCCGATCTACGATGGGAGTTCCACCGGCTTCCAGACCCTGGATTCCTCACCCAAGGGTTCCTTTTTCGATGCCCCCTACCGCAGCAGTATCGGTACCTTTTGGCTTCCGTCGACGCTTGACGTTGCGGGCCCGTCTGTGCTGCAGTTCACTGAGGCCCTTGCGCGCCCCGTTCCTCCTCCTCCCCGCTCCGTCCGGCAGAGCCGGATAGGGGGCGAGAGGGCGAGGGCGCGCTGTAAGCATGGACTGGGGCTCTAACCGAGATAAGGGGCTCCCCCGCGGACGAGGGAGACAGACTCATGTGGCTCAAAAGGGACCCCAGAGAAAGGGACTTTTGAGGCGGGCGGTGCCGATTTCTCAAGCCCGCTCGGCTTCGCCCACAGGGTCGCTGCACGACGCTCTCACTCCACTTGTCGAGGTCTCAGATGCAACGCCGCGGTCTCAGAAGTCACTTTCGCTGGCGTCCATTTAGGGAGCGTGTCACAGACCGAGGGGCGGCACGAGGAGGAGCAACCGGGGACAGAGAGAGAGACAGAGCGAGGAAAGGAGGGACTGGGGGGAGCAGCAGGCGCGACGGAGGAGGGCGGGAGGGGGGAGGGGGGAGGGTCGCCAACACCGCCGACGAACCCTTTAGGACCCCCTGGGGGTTCTCCAGAGCGGCTTCGGCGGCATCGGCGGCCCTTTGGCTTGGGTCGCTCGTTCTTGTGCAGCTCTTCTGGATGTCCCCGTCCTGATCCCCCCTCCTAATCCCAATATCGCCCCCGACGTTCAACCGTGCCACGGGCGTGAAATGGCGCGCCTCCTTGCCCACGGAATGGGTGGCTGAGCAGCGGCGCGTGGTCGGACCAGGGCGCAGGCTGGGCAGGTGATAGTGGGTGGAGCGGGAAAGTGAAACGTCCTCCTCCTCCTCCTCCTCCTCCTCCTCCTCCTCCTCCTCATCATCCTCATCATCATCATCATCATCATCATCCTCCTCCTCCTCCTCTTCCTCCTCCTTCTCCTCCTCCTCCTCCTCCTTCTCCTCCTCCTCCTCCTCCTCCTCCTCATATTCTTCCTCCTCCTCCTTCTCCTCCTCCTCCTATTCCTCCTCCTCGTATTCCTCCTCCTCCCTCCTCCTCCTCCTCTCCTCCGCCTCCTCCTCCTCCTCCTCCTCCTCCTCCTCCTCCTCCTCCTCCTCCTCCTCCCCCCCTCCCCCCCTTCCTCCTCCATCTCTCCCCCTTCCCCTCTCCGGGCGACGGCGATGACGACCGCAACGGCAACGCCGACGATGGCGGCGGACTCGGCGGCGGACTCGGCGGCGCCGACGGCAGCGGCGGCGGCGGCGACAGCGCCGGCGACGGCGGCGGCGGCCCCCGCAGGGCCTGTGAAGACGGCAGCCCGGGCCGCTGCGGGGTCTGCCAGGCCCCGCCGTCGCAGGCGCCTCGCGCGCGCGCGCGTGCGCCCCTAGGATGATGGAGTAGGGGAGGAGGGGAGGGGAGGAGGAGGAGGGGGAGGGGAGGAGGAGGAGGAGGAGGAGGAGGAGGAGGAGGAGGAGGAGGAGGAGGAGGAGGAGGAGGAGGAGGAGGAGGAGGAGGGGGAGGGGGAGGGGGAGCCAGGGGCCAGAGGGGGAGGAGGAGGAGGAGTCTGAGGAGGAGGAGGAGGAGGAGGAGGAGGAGGAGGAGGAGGAGGAGGAGGAGGCGCTGGCCAGCACGTCCTTCCCAGACCTCAGAAGAGCCCAGACCGCCGACGAGGATGTGATCTCGGTCGGCGGCGTCCCGCGCGATGCAGTGCGGGCGCGGCCGCAGGAAGCCCTCGCAAGAACCCCGGCCCTGAAGCCCGCCGGCGCGAGCCTCCAGCGGGGGGAGCCCGGGGCACCCGGAGCGCAGCAGCTCCCTCGACGGCCACGGGAAGCCCCCGCGCAGCGCCCGGAGCGAAGAACCCCGGAGTACCCTGACGAAAAGCAGCCAGCTTCTTGATCCGCGCCCTCGCGGTAGGTTCTTGGGCGTCCTGGGCGTTCCTCGGCGGTGTTTCGCCCTCGGGGTGCGTCCCAGCGGCTGCGCCTCGCCGAGAGCGTTCCGGGGGTGCCCGGATCGTCCCGAACGGCCACCAGAGAGCCGAGGTACGACCCAAAAGCCACATGCAGTCGCGCGTTTAGGGGGGGAAGTGAGAAGGGGAAGGCCCTCTCGGAAGGCGGCGGACTTCTCAGAAGCCCCCTGGCGCCCTCTGAGAAGCTTCTGCTGTGTCTTCGGGGGAGGCCCAGAAGACTTCTCAGCAGAAGGCCGGGGAACTTCCGGGCCTTCTGGGAAGGCCTTCTCCTTCTCGATTACGCCGGGCGCGCCGCCACCCACACGGCTCAGGACCCCCCCTAAAACGGCCCAGGGGAGCCCCAAGACAGCCCAAGAGAGCCCCTCTGTGGCCCGAGGGTGCTTGCGAGGCTCCGAAGGCAGCTCCCAGAAATCCCCCGGGCGGCCAAGGGGGGGGGCCTAAGGAGGCCCCCCCAAAAACGCATCAAGACGGCCCCAGGAGGTCCAAAGAGGGCCCCAAAGACAGCCCCACGGGAGCCCATGACAGACCAGGCCGACCCTGTGAGAGCTTCTCATGGAATCGAGACGGGATGCGTCACGGTGTCGCATGGTGCGGTCTTCGGGGTGACGACCCAAGTGTGAGCACGTGGTGGTCTGTCTGGAGGCGTGGGGACACTTGGATCGCGCATCCGCCATAAAGCACCACCCGCAGTTCATCAGGGCAAAAGAGAAAGCTCGCGAGCTGATAGGGCACCAGCCACTGAGCATCACCCAAAGGACACCAGAGAGAGATCGAGGACTCGCGAACTCACGGGACACCAGCAATAGAGTACCGCCCATAGATCACTTGGGCAAGAACGAGAACTAGCGACTTAGAAGTGCGCCAGACATACAGCACTGTTCAAAGGGCACCAGTGCTCCTCATCCTCATTATCATCGTCATGAAGACCACCCACATCACGTTCGGCATCATTATCACCATCATCATCAGCAGCATCATCATCATCAGCATCATCATC